CTATAAATTAGACTGAGATAATCCACAAAAGTATTGCCTTTTTTACCAAAAGTAAAGGCCACAGACTCCTTGTTGAATGCCAAATCTGTTAAAAGTCAGAACTATATTTCAATATGTATTGATTGGATAGTCTTTGAGCTTACTATAGTTTTGTAATCTTGAGTATCTATATACTTACAAGGCCAGCCAGGATGTTTTCTATAATCCTAACTACAACCTGTAAACTTGTATTAGACATTACACTAAATCTATTAGAAATACTGGACAGCAATATGAGTTAAACCAAACTTATATTTTCTGACTAGCTACTATTTATCTCTATCAAAATGAACAGACTATCACTAAAGCTCTAGAACCCCAGATTAATAATCACATTAACAATGAGTAAACTGATGAAGATATAACCTTAGTCCTACATATAGAGCAAAGATTATTAATTGATGATAATAACTACTCAAGACTAGAGCAAGTTATCCAAGATTCTTTTGACACTAGCCATCTAGACTTCAATCAGGAGTATGCTTTTGCCCAAATGCATAGAAATTTCATCTACCTAGTAGATTTCTGTAAAGAATACTTGTATATAAAGCATCAGGAAGAACTTAATTGCAACCAAAAACACTATGATAAATGTGTCTCTGCATCAATTCTTTATACATCTCCTATATCTGAACCAGAACTAGAAGAAAAAATTATACTTCTTACTATTACTATAATAGAATTGCAACAATAGTTAAATGGCCAGACCTGACTTATCTAACAACTAAAAATTGTATAAATTATCTTAAAGATAAAAATACTCAGTTAATACAACTTCTTCAAGAAAACAACTAACACTTTTAATGCCAATTTGAAGCTTTTACCTTATTAGCACAACTACAAAATTTTTAATAAATTCTAGACAAGATGAAAAACTATCTGATGATCTAGATATTCAGAACCAGAATATAACTTTCATATCTTACCAAATTTATACAATCAATACTTTCCTCCTTTATAAGAAATACTTAGTAGACAAACTCTCTTTAAATATTGAATCTCTTATTCCAAAACAAAAACAAAAATTTAAACACTTACTAGAAAAGTTTGCAGATCTATTTGCAACTGATATAACTAAGTTAAGATATACTAACCTTGTTATTTATAGAATTTATACTAAAGATATATCTCCTATCCAATCTTACACTTATTCAATTTCTCCAAGTGAACAGATGTTTGTAAAGGAAGAATTGCAATGAATAATAGACAACAAGCTAATACAATCTTTTAATAACCTTTGGACTTTATTTGTTGTTTTCATATAGAAAAAAAATAGCAAATTATAATTCTGTATAGACTACAAAAAACTAAATGCTATTATGAAAAAGGATGCATATCTCTTATCTTGAATAGATGAAATGCTAAATACATTAGCAGGATCACCTTGGCTTTCTACTCTAGATCTCGCAAGTGGATATTGGCAAGTTGCTATAGAACTATATAACAAAGAAAAGACAAGACTACTTTTATTACTCACTATAGTATATATAAATTTAATATTATACTTTTTAGACTATGCAATGTACTAGCCACTTTTCAATAACTAATAGACTGAATATATAATGAAATTGCATAGAAATTTGTAGTTGTGTACTTAGATAATACTATAATATTTTCTCAAATATTTAATGAATACTTAGACTATTTAAAAAGAGTATTCTCTTGAATTAGAAAAGCAGAACTAAAACTTAACCTTGAGAAATGCAATTTTTGGATAAAAAGTTTACTCTTTCTTGGTCATATTATTTTTTACAAAGAATTGCTCCCAACTCTCAAAAGATTGAAGCAGTAGAGAAGATACAGCCCCCTAAAAATATAATGCAATTATGATTATTTTTAGAAACTAGTTAGATACTATAGACAATTTATCTAAAACTTCTTTAATATGCTAAACCTCTTAACTAACTTTTACAAAAAGATATTATATATAAATAGAAGACTTCATAGCAAAATGCTTTTGAAACTTTAAAAAAGCATTTAATCACAGTCTCAATTTTGGCTTACGCTAATTTTAAAAGAATATTTATTTTTACCACTGATGCCTCCTACTTTGAATATGGTGCTATATTAAGTCAAGTAAATAATAACAAAAAAGAATACCCAATTGTATATACTAGCAAGAGCCTACAAAAAAAAGAATTAAACTATAAAGCTACTGAATTAGAGTGTGCTACTATAGTGTAGGCTATCAAATATTTTTATAAATATTTAAACACTACTGTCTTTATATTGATAACTAACTATTTTACTTTTAAGTAGTTATGAATAGCAAAACCTAAAAGACAAATTGCTTGATAGATACTTAAACTTCAACTATACAATTTTGAAATTTTTCATAAATCTAGACAAATCTATTTTAATGTTGATATTTTATCTCACTTACCAATCCAGATAAATACTACCTCATCACTATGAATTTAAATTGCTATATAGATTTATATAACTATATAAAAACAAACCAAATACCTAATGATTTTATAGACAAAACTAAAAGACAACTAATTAAACAAGCTAGATATTTTCAAACTAAATATAGATTGTTATATAAGAAAAATAGAAAAGATACAGACTATCTTTTTTAAGTTGTTAAATAAACTGAAGTGAAACCTATCCTGTATATAATACACAAATACCCTACTGCTAGATACTTAGAAACTAATACTATGTACTATAAAATAGCCAAATAATATTATTAGAACCAAATATACCAAGATATCCAAGAATATATATAGACCTGTACCTATACTTGCTGGCCAAACCTGGACAAATCCCAAACCCCTAAAAAATAATTGCTATTTATAAAAAATTAAATCAAATAAATAATTCTAAAATTTTACAAATATATTATCTATAGCTATAAGAATATACTTGAATTATTTAAACAAAGATTATTAATAAAATTTTTGAGCTATGAGTTTGGCCAGACCCTTTGGGTTTGTCCACTTTAAGTTTACTTAGAGTGGACAAACTCAAAGGGTCTGGCCAAACTCATAGCTCAAAAATTTTATAAATAATCTTTGTTTAAATAATTCAAGTATATTTTTATAGCTATAGATAATATATTTGTAAAATTTAAGAATTATTTATTTGATTTAATTTTTTATAATTAGCAATTATTTTTTAGGGGTTTGGGATTTGTCCGGGTTTGGCCGGCAAGTATAGCTACCGCTGGTTCGATTCCAGCAAGGGCAATCTTTTTTTTTTTTAAGTCTTGTGATCTTGATTTTGTTGTTCGATTTAATAATAACAATTAATTTTTGATTTCTTTTTTTTAGGCTCAATAATTTTATTCTTAAGCTATGGTTTTTTTGGTGAAATTTTTTTATTTGTAGCAGGTTGTGATATCGCAGGTTACAAGAATCAGCACATATAAGTTTTTTTTTTTTTTTTTTTACTATACTAATTGGTTCTTTTTTTTGGATCTTCTATAGTATAGGTGGGCCTAAAATAAAAATATCCTCTTAACTTTTTGCTTTTTTATATTCATCGTCAAATTTTTGCTGAGAAATGCTATCTTTTACCAATTTGCATTGGTGTGTTTCCATTCGTAGTTAACCAGTATTTACCGGACAAAAGCTATCAGAATATTTAGCACTAGGTGCGTTGATCACAATATGTTTCACTTCTGCAATGTCAACTTCTTCAGCCTGACACAAAATTTTTGTATCTTGATTATAATCTCCAGACTTGGTGCTGACCCTCCTAACTAAATGTGTTAATATAAATTTTCGATTGTATATCATGGAATTTTGGACAAAGTTATGCTTTGCGCCATCATGAATAGTACAGAGATCAACTTGTTGTCCATCATCATAGACATATGATTTTAGAGAGCGAAATTGTGCAACAAAGTACTCAAAATGTTGCCAGTATTGGCACCCAGGTGGGATACTAGATTCTCCACTTTTGTTAAATACCTCTTTGTAGTAAGCAAAATCCTATGGTTTGCATGAGCCATAATCCATAACCAAATGTATAGACACGATAGATGACCAACAATTTGATCAGGATCCGAACTTTCAAACCGAATAAGTCCAAACTGTATCGGTATATTCCCAGCAAATTTTTGGTTTGATTTTGCTGAGCACTAATAAGATAATAATAAATATATACACAGTCTGACCTCGTTATAGTCACTCTCAATATAGTCACGACCTTGTTATAATCACACTAATTTTTTGGTCTTGCTATTATAAAACATATAAAATTTAACCTTTATTTAGTCACATCTTTTTATAATCACCAAAATTTTGTTTCCCAACCTGGTGATTATAACGAGATCAAACTGTAATTATATTAGATGTTCGATCAATTTGATTGGTTAATGATTACGTTTATGGTTTACATTTATTAACCAATCAAGTCGAATGTCTGCCATGAAGGGATGTTACAGTAATCGGTCCTTTGGAATCGAATCGAATCCTATTTGAGAACCGAATCCAGGACCGTTTTTTTAAGATCCTAGGATCGGACCAGACTGGATTCGCAATTTAACATCCCTACTGCCATTGCTAGTCCAGGCTGTTCTAACTAGTCCGGTCTTAGAAACCTAGAGCAGACCAAAACTGGTCTTAAAACTAAATATAAGGATTACAATAATCGATATGTGAATCAATGCATAACGTGATACTGTACAATTTATCACATCAGGTGATATATCACCCGAGTACATCGCATAGGATCTGCAGATAAGTTCTGCTTTTTTTGTACCAACGTGATTAATAAAAATTGGAAACGCTATTCCACCATGCTTTTAACACGACTTAAAGCTAATATAAACACGACAAATATCATAAACTAAATTACGACCAATAGTGGAAATAGACATTGCCTAAAAATATTGCAGTAAAAAATAAAATAAAAAATAATTTATACGTATAAAAAATTATTAATAAAGTTTATTATATTGTACGTACATAATTCCCATCACATGACTAAGGGAAGTACCAAATTATAATACCCTAATATCTGCGTGCTCTTTTTGACTCTCGATCATATGATCTATCCCTATCTCCTCTCCTTTCATTATATTCTCTATGATTCCTTTCCCTTTCTCTGCTATGATCATCCTTTCTTCTGTTCCCATGTTCATTCAGACTTTCCTTTTCTCCTCTCCTTTCATTATATTCTCTATCTTTATGATTCCTTTCTCTTTCTCTGTTCTGATCATCTTTTCTTTTGTTTCCATTTTCATTCAGACTTTCCTTCTCTCCTCTCCTTTCATTATATTCTCTATCTTTATAATTTCTTTCCTTTTCTCTGCTCTGATTATCTTTTCTTTTGTTACCATTTTCATTCAGGCTTTCCTTCCTTTTCTTTCTCTCCATCTCGTCTATAATAATTTGTTCCATAGCCGTTAATTTCTTTGGCTGCTCTTTCTCTTTTTCTTTTTTCTGTACATTCAAAGAACCGGATTTTTTTGCTAAAGCACTAAGGGACATTTTTTGGGAAGTAGGTTTATTAAATGAGATGCTAGTGTGAGTGGAACCATTAGTAGAAGGAGCTGATGTGGTAGATGAATCGGTTTTAACGGTAGAAGACGAAATGGAAGATTCTGATTTTACTAAAGAAATGTTGAGTTTTATCTTATCTTCTTCATTGCTTCGTTTGAGTTCCGTAAATTTTTCCTATAAAGGAAAGAAAAAAAAATGAATAATCTAAAATAATTAATATGCATATTATAAAAAAAAAAAAAATTATAAATACATCTTCTACACCCAAATCTTCAGCCTCCTTCTGAGCCCTCTCTATTTGCTCTTCTATTAATTTGCGGGCCCTTTCTTCCTCACCCTTTTCTGCCCGCTCTTTTTTCTGAATTGCCTCCTAAATAAACCAAATGTAAAAGGATCAATTATTAATTATTCAAAATAATAATAATGATATTACACAGCTATTTGTAATCATTAATTAAGTTACCTGTCTAGCCAAAGCCTTAGGACTGTTATCAATCCAACTAACAAACCAACCTTTTGGTGTTTCATCAACGGCACAAGTGCCTTCTTTACCCAAATATTTTACAAAGTCAGTTAAGGTATCCCAAATTGTACCGTTCATGTGTATATGATGCCTATCAGAGATATATTCTTGATATACAAGATTTGCATGAACTCTCTTAGTACCCCATCTTAATTAGAAAAGGAAAATAAAGGTAAGTTAAAAATTAACATCAAAAATAAAACAAGAATGATGGACTAGTAAAAGTCACCTTCTAGAGAGCAATTTGATGAAAGGAGAGGAGATAGGGATAGATCATATGATCGAGAGTCAAAAAGAGCACG